ACTATCTGAGTCTCATGTTATTTATTGAATACTGGTGCATTGTGTTGATAGTTCAAGTTTTTTACATCAGTAACAAACTTTCTTCTTGATGAAGCAGCAAAAGTGTGACACCATCTTATTTTATGACTGCTAACTTATCAATGAGAACATATACTAAATATAATTGTTTTGCTAGATGTTCAATTTCTTCCAATATCTGGTTTGGTCGGGTTGAACATGAAGACAAGAATGGACAAAAATGCTTGTGGTTGGTGGAATGGTCCATGCCTTTTCGAGATATTGGACACCATTGAACTTCCTCCGAGAGATCCTAAAGCCCCCCTCAGGTATCTTATAGTATTTTTTTCTTTTTTTTTAGTTGAGTTTTTGAAGATTTCATAATGTATATTCTTTATTTTTGGTTCAATATTTTCCATTTTTTTCAAAAGAAATTATGCACTTGTGTTTATTACTGTTTCCTTTTTTTTCCTTTGCAATTTAAGCTTTGGAATATTATAAGAAATCTTATGTTTTTCATCTCTGGCTCAAGATCATCAGCTACATCAACACAGTCACGATCAACTCTTTTTCATATTTCTTTCCATTTTGCTTTCTGCATGGTGATTTACCATTTTTTTCTTCCGTTTTGTACATAATTTCACTTCGTTATTAACCCATTTCTGCAAATTACAAAATTATGCTTAATAGTTTAAGTTTCAAATAATTTTGCAGGATGCCAATTATTGATAAATACAAAGACATGGGAACAGTTGTGATGGGAAAAATTGAGTCTGGTAGTATCCGTGAAGGTGATAGCTTGTATGTCATGCCCAACAAAGTAAGTTATCTTTCTGTGGACTAATTGGCTTCAGGCTTTTCTGCCTAAATATGCTTTTCCTATATGTTAAATTGATTTTTGTATCAATTTGCGACAGGCTAATGTAAAGGTGCTTGGCATACAATGTGATGAGAATAAGGTAAGACAAGCTGGGCCAGGTGAAAATACACGGGTTAAATTGTCAGGGATAGAGGAAGAAGACATATTGTCTGGTTTTGTTCTTTCTAGTGTGGGTAAGTTACCTTTTTGTTTTTGAATTTTTTATTACCATTTGCATGCTTAACCAATTTGTTCCATTATGCTTAAATATTGGTCTATGCTTTATCTTGTTATCACATTCGTATGGCATCTTTTTTCATGTTTTTTTCACAATACGAATGATCTAGAGTAAGAACTGCCCCTTTATGGGTTAGAAATGCCTTTAAATTACTGAATATATTTAATCTTATCTCTGAGAATCATATCCTTGTTTTCACTTATACGTACTTTACCATTACAGTAAGTTCGTAAATTGTTGATATTTTGAGAGCATAAAAGCTTCAAAGTTCTTTTTGTTTGACTACATTTACATTGGGTATTTGTGAATTGTAATTTAAGACCTTTTGGTACATAGGCTTTTGTGCTGCTGCTCGTGTCCAAAAGGTTATCTTGTAATAGAATTTGTGTCCTAAATTGCACATATTCTTGCTTACATATTTTGGCAGCTTTCAGGATAGAATTTGAAATACCTTTACTTATCTTGTCCACTTTACATCCTAGATGTTTTTGGTTTCCCGTTATTTTTAAATGTTTAATGTTATCATAAAGTTCTTGTCTTTTTTTTTAAATTAACACTTTGGTTTGGGGAATCAGTGATTACCTTGTTTCATCACCTTTTTTGCATAGTTGGTATGCTGGTTGTAATACAACTTCTTTTGACTGGGGAATTGTTTGGGTCAATGGTAGGAAGGTGTTTTCCTGACGCTTACGTTGCTGCATCTGCCAAATAGGTGGATGCTAGTCTTGACCGTGTTACCTTTTTCTGCTCTAGTTATGCAGATACCCCTTATACTTGGGCCAAATGTGGGTTATGCGCCTGCATACATTAATGCATGCTTGTATAATCATATTATCTCATAGCAGATGAAACCTTCCCTCCAGAAGAAAACAAGACCCAACCGCCCAAAATAATACAGAACGAACAGAACAAGACCAATACCCACAATAGTACAGAACCGTACCTATACCCCTCAACCATTCCATGTCTGCCCCTCTAGGATCTTTCCTCTCTTCTATTTTCCCCTCTACTTTTCTATTGCTGAGCTCTGCGGAAACAATGAGGCGGCGTTGGCAAGGCAGCAACATGGTGGCAATGGAGAGGCAATGATAGTGCCGCGATTTGCAACAGAAACAACGGGTTGATATTCAGGTGTGGTTTCCTTTTTTCGCTCATTCCCAGTTTCCCTTAACAGGTAACTATCGACAACGGCTTCCTCCAGCAAAAAAGCTTGGAAACAGCAGCACAGGTGACTTGTTTCTCTTTTTGTCTCCCCTGTTCTGCTGTCTGCAGTTGTTTTTGTTCTTCCTCCCCTATTCTGTAGTATGCCTTCTGAGGAAGTTGCTAGAATCAGATCCTGACCAGAAAAGAACTAATTCATTAAAGAAACATATTTGGCTAGTGATCCTGACCAAAAAACAACTAATTCATAAAGAAAAATACATATTTAGCCAGTGAACAATGCTATTACCCTTTAAATTTGTTATCTATTTGTCTCGACACTTTTATCGTCAATTCTTATATCTACGTTCAGCCTTATGCTGCTATGCATGATCTCTTTGAAGCTAAATTATTAAACAGGATGAGGTGTTCCTTTAAGGTCAGTTCTGCTATATTTTTCTTACTGTCTTTGAAAATCAAATGGTTGCAAACTATAAGATGTAATCTGTGTTTTCATGTTATTCCATATAACTTGTTCATGTGGTACGTTGTTAAGTGCAGCTGGTCTGAAATGCGTGATTGGAACATGTTTATGAAATTCTTTTTGGATCAATCGTGAAATCCTATATGTGTGTACTATAATACATGATGGCAGCTCTGGCTGTAACCTGCATTCGTGCCCAACAAACTCTGTTGACATGGAAAATGAAATTTGGGCATGAGAGGGAGCTGCTTCTCTTCTTTTTTTTTTGCACTTTTGGGTGGGGCACTAGGCATATACTTAATAGCTCTTTATAATTTTGAACTGTGTGCTGTGTACATATGCGCGCGTTTGTTGCGTGTTATGTGTTTCTTGGGCGTGTGCCTGTGGCCCTGTGCATGTGACCATGTGTATCATCGCTATATCTACCACACTGTATGTGCTGTAAGAATTTTTGTGTCAAAGCATCCTTCTGTATGTGGTATCATACATAGCATTCTTTTCCTTGATAAATAACTTCCCCTGAGACGGTGATTTCCAGAATTTTTTGCTTCTGGCATCATCAGTTATAAATGTTGACATTTTGAGGTTGATTTGTTTGTGCAGCAAATCCGATTGGCGTAGTTTCTGAATTTGAGGCTCAGTTGCAGATTCTAGAGTTGCTTGATAATGTAAGTACTTTTAAAGAACGAGGAATATCACATTTAGGCCCTGTTTGGTTTGACTGAAAACGATGGAAAAGAAAAGAAAAAGAAAAAGAAAATAGATTTGTATTGTTTGGTTTGATGGAAAGATAAGAAAATGAAAATGAGAATCAGAGAAGAAAATAAGGCTCTGAATTTTCGTTTTCAATTTCTTCCTCTGAAGCTAGTGAAAGTTGGGGAAAGTTTTGTCGGGGCCGGTCGACCACAACTCCCGCTAACTCGATCCCACTACCCCCTGTGCTGACAACTCCCACTATCTCGATGCCACTACCCAATGCGTTGAGAAGAAAAATCCTCCATTGATTGAGTGTGGGCCCCACCAGGGCTAATACCATTATATGCAGTGGCCCAACTAGGGCATTTATGTAGGTTTAAGTACACTATACACATGAAAAAAAATCATGTACAGAACTCTCTTTATAGGATATATTATGCTACATTACACTAAACACCCATAAACTTTCAGTGCTTTATAGTAAACCCCCATGAATTTTCATAATCACACTAAACGCCCAATAACTTTTCCAGAAACCCCTTATGATCTTTTAGGTAAATTACACTAAACCCCCATGGGACTTTCAAAATGCCTCTTTATGCTATTTTTGGTTCTAATGTATGGGGGTTATCTACAAAACTGAAAAAGTTCATGGGAGTTTTCTGCAATTCCAAAAAGTTCATGGGAGTTTGGTGTGATTTTCAAAGGTTATAGGGGTTTATTGCAAAACACTGAAAGTTCATGGGGTTTAGTATAATTTTTATATATAAGGGTAAGTTAATTATTTTTCTATCTTATTTTTATGTATTTTCCTTCAAATTTCTTTCTACAAGTTTCTTTTTCTTTTTCTTTTTCTTTCTTTTCCTTTTCCATTTCATTTTCTTTTCTTTCACTTCACCTCAAACCAAACACAGCCTTACATTTCTGGTTTTCTGTGAAAAACCAAGTGTAGTTAATTCTCCCTTAATGCTGTAGGCAATATTTACTGCTGGTTACAAGGCAGTGTTGCACATTCATTCAATTGTTGAGGAGTGTGAGATTGTTGATCTGATTGAAGAAATTGACGTGAAGAAAAAGAGTGATCCGAAGAAAAAGAAGCGAAAACCTCTGTTTGTTAAAAATGGTGCTGTTGTGAAGTGCCGTATTCAGGTTAACTTGGTAACCTTCTGTAAGATACATGCACTTGCATAGTGCTCAGTAGTAATCATATGTTGAAATGTTTCCCAGGTCAATAATTTGATATGCATCGAGAAATTTTCGGATTTTGCACAGCTTGGGAGATTCACTCTTCGTACTGAAGGTATTATGGGTACCTTTTGCCATTATTCTCAGTTCACGAAGCTAATGACAGTATGTTATATAATTAAGCATTTATATCTTCCCCCCTTTCCTGCAGGGAAAACAATTGCTGTCGGGAAAGTTGTTGGCCTGCCACCTTCAGGAAACCCCACATTCGGTTAAGAAACTATGGTAGGCATCATATTTCAGTTCAGTTCTATAGTTCTTGAGTAATACAGCTTATCATCATATACTCTGTTCTCTCTTCTTTAGGCTAGCCTTTCGTTCCCATTAAAGACTTGAAAAAAATCAGTCGGTCAGTATGGACCAGGCTCTATAAAGCCTCGACTTAAAGACTGGACAAATTTAATTAGACAAGTTCAGCCAAGTCTTATAAAAATCGCCATTAACCCCCACCCAATGATGGTTGACTTCTTTTGTTCTCATAGAATTACTTATTGGGTCTTCTCTGATTTTTATACATGCTACTAATTGCACGGATTTTCGACTTTTAATGTTTATTATTATCTGTGACTTGTAGGATGAAGATTCCATGCTGTTAAGAGAGCATACTCGAGTTGCCACGAGAGAGAGGAGACATAGTATATATGGCTGCAAGAGTATATTTTGTTTTCACCGAGTTTTTTTCTTGGGGGACTGGTGCAACGTCCAGCCGTTGTGTATGGTCCTTCAAGATGAGAGTAGGAGTTAGGCTGATGAGTTTCTTTCTTTACCCTGATTTTGTATAATCATGTAAGACTGGGAGTAAGTAATTGTCGATGTCATTTCTTTGTCATGAGTGTCGTATTAATCCCTTGAAGGGAGATTAGAGGAGGCAAAATGTTTCTTTTGGGAAGCGTTACTAGTGTGATGCTTCTATGCTTGCGATGTGATTCGCGATTTTTATTCTGAGAATCATAGACGAACTAAGAAATGATGTTGCATACTTTTGCGAGATTTGGGTATCATCATAGAATGTGTTTCGAAACTTTGGTGAGTGCTAGATGCTTTTATTGTTTTGGGTATTTATACGCTAGTTTGCGCTAATGGATATTGGATTCGTCTGGGATTCTTAATTTTGTCATGCTACTGAGATAAACTTTGTGGTTCATGCTTATGTGGATATTGCACGGGCCTCAAATAAGTCCAATCGCAGCAAGGCTATAAACTATAGAATATGAGATAATGCTACTTCCGTGCTATTTTTCCTGCAGGCTGAGCTCTTGGCTCCTATTACCCCCTATGATTATTGTATTCTGGAACCCCATTGGTGACCTGTTAATGGTAAGCTGTTGCAGATAGGGATTTTCTGAACTAAATTGCCTCATTTCTTCAGAAGATGAAAGGATAATATATTTCTTTCAAGTATATCAAGCTTAAGGGAGAAATGCAAACAATGAAGAGATTGGTTTTCATGTGTAAGCTGCAATCCAATTAAAAAACAAGATATAATATGAAAAGTTCGAAAATTAAGGTCCCTTGCATTGTCTGTAGTTGGATGGGAAAAGAAACATGCTGCAGCTTCAAGCCCTGAAACTGCCTAAAGTGACCTATTTTTTAAGATTTATTACACGTGCGGATTTGGATTCTTTCCATTATAAAAAAGTAGTGAAGAGGTTATTACTTTCATTCTAGTCTATTGATTTAGTTTTAATAGCTAAGATGAAAATTAACTTTTCTAATCATAATTATAGGAATTAATTAGCATAACAAATCCACTACTTGTACTCTAAAATCTAATCTACTTTCCTAATCTTATCTTCCGGTCTTTCTCTCTATTTTTTTGGCAGGTTTTTTATTCTCTCATTTTTTTTTCTTCTTCTTTTGTTTTTTTTTCTCTGCTTTTTTTATTTTACTAGGTTCAAATATTTTAATTGTTTAGTTTGAATTTATTTGTTTATTATAACATGGCTACAAAAAAGTTTATGATTATCATAATATATTAAAAAGATTTGGCGACTTCCATGTGTGAAATCTTGTTGGTTTTAGTATTTAGCCTTCTAGAGAAATAGTGAGGTTTAAAGTCGTTCAAAATATCAATGATTTAAGAGCAATTTAATGATTTGAAGGTTTAATTTCAAAATATTAATGAAGTAAGGGACTAATATCGAAAACTTATTGTTATTGATAAAATAAAATAAAATTTTTAATTCATCAAAGAAAAATGGTAGGTTTTATCCAGTCATATAAGATTTTCTTTAGTTATAAAAAATTACTTCCATCTGTTGTTTATCCAGCGATCGAGTATTATTATAGATATTTCAAAACTTTTTTGCATAATTTTCTAAGTTAGAATGTGCAAATATAATCAAGAAAGAAATTATAAATTATATGATCAACTTCAAAATCTGATGTTGTAATCTTTTTATATCTTCCCAACTAACTAATTTATTTGTCAAAATGATTACTCTCTAATTTCAAAAAATTATAAAATATAATCTGAGAATGATTTACACATATTATGCACTCATAGGGATTGTATTTTAACAAAATAATCCATATCTATCAATGTTAAACAACATCCAAAAATTAAAGTTAAGGGGTTAGAAGAATCCAATATCTGAAACAATATTTATATCCAAGCTATGTGCTTCATAAACTTATAAGAAGGCGAGTAATACAAAATGATCAAATTTATTTGAGTAATACAAAATGAGAAAATTTATTTTATCACATAATTTATTACAAATCATGAAAGACAATGAGAATCAGAAGGATCACAAACCCATCCCAAATAAAAATTAAATTTCTTTTAGAGATTCTTATAACAAAAGATTTTCAAAGTTGATGTGTAGGATAAATCTAAGGACAAGTAACCCAAACCATTTTATTGAGTGCTAGACTTGCTATAAATTCCACTCTTATAAAATTGATGTTACGTGTGGCTTAAGTTGTGCTTTGTTTAAAGGTTAATTTTAGAAAACTCCCTCTTAACTATGAGGCCATGTCAAAAAACCCTTCTCAAGTTTGGGGTGTGGTAGATAGTCCATCTCAACTTCAAAAAATTTATTTAACCCTATGAACTTTTTTCCTTAAACTTAACCTCTTAAAACTAATATCATTGAGTCTAATCTATTATGTCACAAGTACTTACTTGAAAAGACCAAAATATCTTTCAACCATAAAAGAATTACCTTGGTTTTTGCTAGATGAAAGAAAAAGAGGAGATATAGAGGGAAAAAGAATTGTAAATTGGTCGTGGTCATTTCATTATCGGTTGAGGGTTTCTTTTTAGCTAAAATGGCTTTCTTCAATATGGCATTTTGTCCAAATCACATATTGAAGTAACTATGTTAATGAGGTTTGTTGAGAAAAGGGTAAAAAATGAGATGAAAGTAATTAATTTTCTCTGCTTCCAGTGTTATGAAATCAAGCACAACTTTGTATCGTCATAACAAATGCTTGTAATGCTTTTGAAGTTCTCACTGATTTGTTTTTCTCTTAGTATATGTAAAGGTAAATGTAAGCAAGTAAACGATTCAACGTGTATGAGAGAGGACTGAAAAGCTCCATTTTAAAGCTACTTCTTTTACAATTAATTAAGTATATATGGGTTTGGGATCTATATCTGACATAGAACTAAATCTTTTTTTTCGATAGAATCATGGAGCATGTCAGTTTTCGGCTTCAGATTCTTTGGGCGTCTGATTGAGCATTAGTTTATCTAGGATCTTTCTAATACCAAACGTAATTATCGAAAAATCTGGTCTAGCTGAAGCATCTTGGTTCCAAATACAGCAGATAAGTTCTATGAGCTCTTTGTGTTGATGATCCTCCTCTGGGAGTTTCGGTCTTAGCCGCCCCTCTGCAACCTCCAGTGCTATCTGAAACAGAGGTTAGCAATCATACCATGTTAAATTTTAATTCAATTTTCATTTCTTTTCTTTTCTTTCAACGACTCCTTGATTTCTAAGGATTGCATGATGGTGTAGATTATATATGCTTTTTAGGAGTTTAATGAGCATATTTAGTTGTACATTAGATGGTTTTTGAAATATAAATTGAAGGTATACATGATTGTGAGACTTCTAGAGCATTGTTATAGTGGATGTAGCTAATTATACCTGGCTGGGACCGTAACTGCTTTCACTGTATGGGCGATTACCAGTTGTAAGCTCATTTAGTATGATGCCAAAACTATATACATCGCATTTCTCATCGTATGGTTCACTGCGGATGACCTCAGGCGCCATGTACACATACGTCCCTGAAAATTTTAGAGAAATCAGCACATAAGATTTTATTTATCGATGTCTCATCAGATATTTATTTTCCTCGATTTCTTTGCATTGGTAGCATATTTTATGCTCAACCCTCGTCATAACTCTGAGTTTTGGTGTGGTGCTGTAAGGGATTTTAGGATGATATCAGAGCAATTCAGGTTATATAAAGCCCTATGATGAGCGTTGAGGTTATAATTTTATATTCTAACAATGCCCCTGTAGGATTACGATCCATTAATGCTTCCTTATGAGATTTGAACCCTATGTTGCTCTCATACCATCTTAATGTCCTTTCAAACACACCGAGTTGTCTGAGTTATGACAAAAATTGAGGGGGTCAGAATTTCATATTCAAACATTGTGTGTATGAAGTGTTAGATACTTGCCCATTTCCCCTGTTAGTGCTTGCTCTCCATCACAAAGCAATCGTGCATGACCAAAATCCGCCACTCGAACATGCGTACAATCATCTAAAAGTATGTTACTAGGTTTCAAATCTCGATGAATAACCTTAGGCTTTTGTTCATGAAGATGCTCCATCGCTTGAGCAATCTCTAACCCCTTTTCTATCCTCTCTTGCAATGGAGGGAGAGGAACTGTCCTCTCTCTTCGTCTCTCTTTATGACCGTACAGCCATTCTGTTAAGGTTTTCCCACTCAATAATTCAGTGACAATCCAAGCATTTTCTGGTGGCTGGAGACATGCACCGAGCAAATGCAATACAAAAGGGTGTTCCTGTCTTGATAGAGTGTCGAGTTCTTGGAAAAACCAGGTTTTGGTGAATTCATTTGTTTGGAAACAACAGGGGTGTATCCATTTAATAGCGACGTTGAGGCCTCTCCAAGTTCCCTTATAAATGTCCGCAGTAGTCCCTCGGCCTATCTTCTCATGAAACTCTATCTGCTAGAATGAACACACCATTTTTACTGAATTCTTCTTATATTTTGGGGTCGAAAGAAGTGATATGCAATGGCGTGAATAAGAGAAATTTCTACAGTCCATGATTGAATGAAAAGTACAAATTCATCAAAATGGATGAAATAGACTGGAAGGCAAAGAGATTTATAGAAGCAGCATTTTATCTGAAAGAATCTGAAGGTCAATAATATAATTTTCAGCAAGCGGTTAACATGTGCAAGCATTCACAGTTCCTATATATATAAATTCACAGTTCCTATATATATAATTGAGCCTTCAGACTAGTAATCTACCAGTATAACTTTTTCCTTGATGATCCTTTCTTTACCTTAATTAAGATGTTGATCTATGAAGTTCATATTGCATTCTAGACTACTATTAGAGTTTTAGTTTGATGAAAAAGAAAAAGGCACACCTCTTGTGGCTCAATATTCCATCCATTTATCTTCGCATGAGCTCTCATAGCTTCAATATCAATACCTGTGGCTACCTCTTCATTGATTCTTAAATGCTCAAAGTCTGGTTCAGGATATTGATGCTGATCATTTCCTATCGTACTATCCTGCATCGCGTCAACCTGAGCTCCATCAGTTAATTTTTGACTCCTTTGCCTTCTGACTTCCTCTTTGAGCTCAGCTACCTTGATTAAGAAACACAGTAGAAAATTTGAACTCTTTACTATTATTTTAGAAAAAAATGAAACTCTTTTGTACTCTTTATTTTTTTGCTTGCTATTAGTTATTGCTTTCCGTTAATTGCAGATAAACCTTTTGTACTATATAGGATGTAGCCATTTACACTCTCTGAACTACATTATAAAAGTGCTATTCCTCTCAATTCGGTTGAGATGTCATGTCGAAATCACACGGGGGTAATTTACTTTT